GGTCGCTTCAACCGCGGACATGAAAAACAACCCGCGGCAACAGTGTTAAAGTAGCCCAATTCCGCGGGAAAACCACTGACTTGGCAACACTGGAACGCGCTAAAGCCCCCCTAAAAATGGCTTAGCGACGCCCATGAGCCAAACCTAAGTGGTGAGTCTTAGAACAGACTGTAGGAATAAAATAATGACATAATGTTATTTACTCACCTGTATCGCTTTCTTTCATTAATCCTTTTTTCTTTCTTTCTTCAGTGAAACACAAATGGAGCTTTTTCAGACAATACAAATGGATCCCAATTTGAAACGCCAAGCTGTCAATACAAACTTCTGGGCAGTATTCGAAGTCTTCTGAAGCCATATGATAACTTTGTGAGAGGAACAGCCTAAAAGTTAAGTCGTTATTCACTGAAAGTAGTGCCGTCTACCGTTGCCTTCAAATATCTTTGCGGTTGAGTAACGTTACCTTTGAAAAAAATTGTGCTTTTAGTTTTCGTGGGTCACGTGACCAATCGAGTATACAGCCTTATGGTGCGTTCAAGTCATGTCGGACAGATCGTATTTACTAGTTGAAAGCACATGAACGCCACCACAAAGTCGTTATTATGAGTGGGGACCTCGAAATTTTCATTAAGCCCAGAGTTTCCGAGTTGGGGGCGTGTCAGTGAAGACTATAGATATGCAGCTCTGTATTGGTGGTCAATTTGTTGAAATGAATAAAATTATTATTTTTTTGTAATGTACAATAAAACTACATAAGTTACAAAATATTATATTATTGTATAATTACCATAGAATATATAATGATTCAGTTTACATCACCTTCATAAATTGAATAAAAACAGAAAAAAGCAAAAACGCGATGCAATTTATTCATCATTTTGTAGATGTAGAGTTAAAAAAAAAATCATTGAATTGTAGAAAAGTTAAATCGCCATCTTTTTCCAACCAAGTGACTTGAACGCACCTGACGTTGTAATTACGACTTGTCAACTCGTAAGTACGAACTTCCCAGAAGGACTTGAACGCAACATTAAACAATAGCAGCCGCGTGTTACATTTCATTCAGAGTGCTGCAGGTACCGTGCCCAAAATCTGAAAATAAATAGCTACCTCATTCACTATACATTTATGTAGTGAATTTCAGTGCACTAAATGGTACATAGGTCTTCAACCATGCTCCTGGGGACCCACAGTCCTGCAGAGTTCAGCTCCAACCCTAATCAAATGCCGTAAACAGCTAATCAAGGTCTTCAGGATCACTTGAAAAGTCACAGGCCAGGTGTTCTGAAGCGGGTTGGAAATAAACCTTGCAGGACAGTGGGTCCCCAGGAGCAGGGTTAAAGACCTATGGAGTAGCAAATTTGAGTGCTGAAGTAATTACAGTGTGCCAGAGTGCGAGCTATTGCCAAGACTTATCACAGAAACACATATGCATGTATTTTATTAAATACTAATTTTACTTTGTAATCATAGCCAAAGTGCAAATTTTTTTGTTGTTGCAATGTTCTGTCGTAAGCCTGTAAAAATTGCGGATTTTTTGTGACAAATGACCCCACGTCATATGAAAACATGCTCTGCTGTTTGCACATACATCGTAATTTTCTTTCCTTAAATACTTGTAAAAATGTTAAAAAGTTTTTGTAGCCATAACTGTCTATACAGAAATTGACCTCATTTTGTTTTTGCTTCTATAGCCTAGGAAATTACCTTTCATTATCCCCATAGAAATGAATCCTTGGTAACCAGGGTTTTCTCCATGTGTGAGCGGTCCCTACCTTGACTACTGTATACACCTGCCTTTTGGTAGTTACATCTCTCAAATGAACCTGAGAGGCTGCTTCATATACTTTACTGATACAGTGGCAGTAGTTTCTTGCAGGTCGGGTTTCAAACTGAAAATGGGATTTAATAAACCTAGGATTCTGAAAACATTTCCTATTCTTTCATTGGGTACAACACTGTCCATCGTCCTACTGAACTATCCAAGGAAGAACTGCCCTTCTAAGGGGAAACTGGAATTGAATCACTCACTAAAGCAGGATGTTGGAGAATTACAGGCTTGTTCTGCTATTATCGAAGGAGACTTGGATGGAGTGGACAAGGGTGTTTTAGGAAGTTCCTGGCCTTGTTCTAAATAGTGCCGAGTGTTGTTTTTCTTGCAAAATGTGCAACAAAATTTGCAAAGCCGAACACTAAATAAACCGCCGCACTTTTGGAGCTGGAAAGGTGCATGAAAAGTGGGCTTCTTGTTGAACAAACAGAAAATGTGTGGAATCATGTGTAAACACATTTAACAACTAGATTATAGAGAGAAAAAGCCCATTTCAGACTTTAACATCACAGCCTTATTCTGTACTGCTTTCACTGACAACATTAAATCAAAATGGACCATATTTTCTGTCTTAATACATGTTCTTATTGTGTATGACTCAGGAGTGCACATTGTTCAAAAAAAAAAATTGCCTTCCTAATACTTTAGCAAAATGTCCCCAGTCTTTAATAGAATTTAACAGTACCTGCCCACTTTTGGCAGCAATCAATCTTGGTATTATTCTCATTCATTTTCTCCACAGGGATTCTCTAAAAAAAAAAAAAAAAAAAAAAGCTCTTGCTATCAGTCATTCTACCTCAACGCAACCAAAGATTGTCCATCCTACATCTGAGACAGAGGATTTCTGACAGTTTCTCTCATAAAGAGGAGAAAGATTTCCCCATTGCTTACTCCATGGTGATACATGAGAAGATCGAGATGTTTGAAAGGCTCCTGAGAGCCATTTACACTCCTCACAATGTGTACTGTGTTCACGTGGACCAGAAGTCTCCGGAGATCTTTAAAGAAGCAGTAAGGGCCATTACGTCCTGCCTGACCAATGTGTTTGTGGCCAGCAAACTGGAGCATGTGATCTACGCCTCTTGGTCTCGAGTTCAAGCGGACATCAGCTGCATGCAGGATCTGCTCAAGTCACCTGTCCAGTGGAAGTATCTGCTCAACACAAGTGGCACTGATTTCCCCATTAAAACCAATGGGAAACCAGAAATGGTTCAGTCTCCACTGGGATGCACAGACGGGCAGTGTGTGTCTATGGAGCTGGTGACTTGAAATGGATTGTGCAGCAACACCATCTTTTGGCAAACAAGTTTGACCCAGAAGTAGACGATGTAGCAATCAAATGTATGGAAGCCTTTTTAAGGTACAAAGCTATTTATGGTCAATCATTACTAACAGTTAAAAATTCTGGCATTATTTTATGATGCCAGTAGTAATATGTTATTTAACGGTCTATGTGTTTTTATAAAAAATTGTCAGTGTGAATGTTTTATTCATTTGGATAGAAATCCTGTAATTTATTTAGTTTTTATACTGGCATACTTATAAGATAGCACAAATGGATAAATACAACTATATGCAAATGTATAAATCTTCCCTTTGTTTTATATATATTTTTTTTTTTGTAAAAGTAGTATGTAAAATATGAGGAGCAAACTAACCTAAAACATACATTTCAGTTGTGTTCAAAAGGAGCCTAGTGGAAACACTTGATCATGTCCTGTTCTCTGTAAGGGAAATTACACAACACTGAACTGTTGGAGTGTTGTAGAACATTCACGATGACAATGTGGTTTTCTTGTGGAAGTTTACTTGCAAGAACATAACATACAAGAACCCCACCCTCCCAAACCATTAATGAAAGTGAATTGAAGAAATGTTACTGGTGCGATACATTTTTGCTTAATTCCTTTCGGTCTCCTTTGCACATTTCTCCACGATCTCGAATCATACACCAAATCAGCAGTAAACAATACGTGGTATAACTATGAGATGTTCAGTGAGCAGATGACAAACAACGGCAGACTGTGGCCCTAAAAATAACGTTTCAGTCATAAAAATATATTAATCTTTCTCCTTGATTGCCGTTTGATATAAATATATATTTAAATGTAACGCAGAACATGCATTGACTAGTTCGAAAACTGAGTGCCTTAACTAAGAGCAAGATACAATTGGAACTAGAACATGTTGACAGTATCTACTTATTGAAATGATACATATAAAAGGTTATTAAAATGTTTAACGCAGAAATCAGATGCCATCTGACAAGTGTTTGGCACACAAATGCAACAGGGAGAAAAAAAAAGTCACATAGCGTAACAGGCAGTCAAAACTTTAAAGGGACAGCTCACCCACGAATAAAAATTCTGTCATTATTTACTCACCCTCCCGTCGTTCCAAATCTGTATGACTCTTGTGTGCAGCACAAAAGCTCCTCTTTTCCATTCAATGAAAGTGAATGGGGACCACGAATATCAAAAAGAGCAGCTTGGACATTCTGCTAAATATCCTCTTTTGTGCTCCACAGAAAAAAAAGTCACATGGGTTTGGAATGACATGAGAGAGCGTAAACAATGACTGAATTTTCATTTTGCGATAAACTACTCCTTTAAAAGGCACTTTTCTGACATCAAGATCTTGCGTTCTCCAGTTAAAAGAAACCCAATACATTCGTTGATTCTTCCAGCTTCTCTCTTCAACTCCTCTGACTCACTCTGGCACTGCTGCGGTGGCCATCTCCACCTTTCCACGCACGTCCTGGTCAATCCTAAATTGGAAAAACAAATTATAAGGGATCAGAATCAAATCCATACCAACACTTCAATTTGATTCAAAAACAACAGCCGTTTATACACAAATCAATACACAGACAACGTCACAACAAGATCTCATGACTTTACACTCAAAGGTTTAGTCAAGACAACTTTTTGATTGAGGTTAAAAACATCGTTATACAAACACAACAAGCAAAAAGATTATTTAAATCAATTAATGTGGAACTTAAGTCAGTTGATTCTGCACTGTTCATTGTACAAACTGGATGAAAAATATTTCCTGAAGAAAATGTAACTGAAGCTTGTGCACAAGACAGTTGCTATACAGTTTCTAAGGCATTCTAAGTGTTTTATGTGTGGAAAACAGTGTAAACTGTAACGCTCCATCTTGTCCCGTGTAATCACCAATGTGAGGTTTACACAATGCATTTTGTCACATGTAGAGCTGGACATGCAGTGAGCAGTAAGAATGTGCATTGGCCAGGCATGCATTTGAAAAATAAATAAATAAATGTAAACCACCCGTGACTTTACTGTTCACATCCTTCACCATAAAGTCTGTTTTACTAGCGTGGTCATACATACCATACTAACAGCGGCAGAACTGAGAGGACACAGCGTCAGAATCTAAATCTGTGAGACGTTCATTTAAAACACAAGCAAGTTAGCGCAAATGGCCAAATACCTGAATGAAATTAATAACAGTTACTGGATGATTCAGATCTGGAGTATCCGTGAGTAAAACTCACTGCAGACTCAAAGATTAAAAAATAATAATCGTTATGTCTTTTTATATATTTATATATAAAATGTATTCAGGATAACTAATTACAAGTTACATTATCTGCATAGTTTAAATCAGGTGTTTAGTAAATAGGAAAGAAAGAAATAGTGCAGAATCTGTTTTTTTTCTCCTTATTCATTTTACATCATACCTTGACAAGTCACTTTTTTCCTCAAATTAAAGGTGCTGTATGTAAATCTTTGACTCTAGTAAAGCATAAAAATACTATAATATGTTTGCAGATATTTAAGAAACATGCTAAGTTAAAGGGGTCATATGATGCTGCTAAAAAGAACATTATTTTGTGTATTTGGTGTAATGAAATGTGTTTATGCGGTTTAAAGTTCAAAAAACACATTATTTTCCATATACTGTACATTATTGTTTCTCCGCTATGCCCCGCCTTTTTGAAACGCGTCGATTTTTACAAAACTCATCGGTCTGAAAAAGCGAGGTATGCTGTGATTGGCCAGCTATCCA